GATTGCAGTCCTCAGGCGTCGTCTGACCAGCTCACTTGTTGCATCGCCTAAGGAAGGCAGTCTTATGAACACGTCCGTTTGTTTATTATCCGTGACCTTAGACTGGGAACGTCGGGAATTTGAACCCCTGCCAATACAATCGAACACGCGTGTCCCAGGAAGCAATTGAGAAGAAGAAGACTCGATCGCTGGGACAATATTGTCCCAGCGATCGAGTCTTCTTCTCATTTGAACCCTTGCCCAGTCTGTCCTTGAGCTTTATGCTCCATACCCTGGCTTTTGTGATGAGACAGGGAGTTCAAAGGCATTCGCCTATCTTTCCCTCAATAAACTGATACTGATGCTGGATTATTCGAAGTACCTTGACTGCTGTACGCATCGATTTTTCACGATTAGTAGTATTCTGTCGTAGGCAGCGAGCACTGCCACGGTCGCTATGACACAATCTGTAAGTTTGGTTATAGTAAGGGATACTTTTTTCACCTTTGCCCTTTCGATAACTATCTCCTCTCAATGACAAGTCTAAGCAAAAGTGAATAACGATGGTTGGGAGCTCGGCTCTATGTCTACGCTTCCAATACATGTGTCGGTCTGTGCAGATATACCGACTAGACTTCACGGAGGGGAGAAGAGGCCGCTACAGCCTAACCCTCAGTCCTCTTTACTTGGCACAATCGTGGCTTCGTCTTCTAGGTCATGGAATGCGCATATCTGCCGAATTTCCAACGCAAGGAACTCGCTTGCTTGCGCCGGCTTAGGTCAGCGATATGTCGCGGACACAATGCCCTCATGAGTGGAATGGAAACCTGTATGGTATAGTCAAGAGGGTTTGGACAACACGTTTTGGCTGTCCTTTCTGTTCCTCAAGAAACTTTATCAGAAGTGATGCCATTCTAGGTCCTTTATCACTTATAAGAGAATTAGCCTGACTGGTTTTCCTTTAACCTATGTCCTACACTTTCTTCACTTTAAATGGGTCTCACCCTACTGTCAGTAGTTTCCGCGCCACAAATGCGAAATGGCAGGCATAACAACCGATTTGCCTGGTTAAGTTTGGAAAGTACCAAATTTTATCGAGACGGTGAACTGTTTGCGCTACAAGCCGAATGAGTTTTTAATGCTTTCTTTTGCCCAGGTTCGCTCAGACCCCTGTATGACTGTTCTCATGGGTGCAAAATACTTAACAGATCCCACTGAATGCCCCTCCTCCGGTAAACGCGTTCACAAGTTCGAACAGCCAATGCCAATACCAAGTTACTTGGTAGCCCTTGCTTGTGGAGATCTGAGATCGACGTAAGTTGGCCTACGTACTTGCGTGTATTTGCACTATTG